TATACCAAGTGAGATAATTACGAAGAAATTAAGAAAATCAGTTCAAAGAACTTTTAATGCTGGCGAACTACACGTATTATTCTCTACACGACCGACGGTGCTACCTCGACTGAAAGATGAAGTACCTAGATTAGCCACTTCAAATTGTATCGATCAATTCAACTGCGCTTGTGGAGCGAGTTATATTGACCGTTGCTCTAGGAACTTGATTTTTCGTGCTCGAGAACATCTCCCACTATTGCGAAGTAAAGGTGTAGTTAAAACTATTAACAGCTCGATATTAGACCATCTGGTGCAAACCGGTCACAAAGCCAGCGTAGAAGAATCCTTCTCTATAATATACCGGGTACCTAACAAATTACCAAAATCGTCGAAGCACCACATGCTCCAAACAGCAGAGGCTATTGCAATTCGCCTCAAACAACAACTGCTCTGTGTTCAAAAGAAACAAGTCCAGCCCCTACTACTGCCCTGGCCCTCAGTAGAAACTATAAACTCATAATTCTTCTGACATTCAGCTTATTTTATGTTGATGCTGTTCAGCTGTAATCGATCAATATTATTGATTTGATGTTATTTAAACATTAATGTCGTTCATAAGACTAATTCATTCATTCATTCATTATAATGTATACATAATTGTAGAGTCTGATGATGAATTTATCGAAAAGAGTTCTCTTTGTTCCAAGTCTATTCTTTTGAAAATTTTAATGGGCATTTTTAATCAGTTATTATGTAATCATCTAACATGAAATCTGTAATACAATAGAAACGCAATTGTTTACACCAACAGACTTATTTAACGTGTTTAAGTGCTAGTTTGTTTGCTATTTTATTAGGATATAAGCACAGATCCTTTAAATCTGAATAATTAAAAACAAGTTTCAAAGAACAATTTAGAAACCACTAATGAATTCCGTCATAGTCTATCTCAAAAATCGTCGTTTTCTTGATATATCTATATTAACTGACTATATCTCAGGTTGCAAGGAAAAATGGAGAAAACGTTGATTTGATTAGCCAACTGATATCATTATGACATTTGGCCAAGAAGAGCATAGGTTTAAAGTAGTCGCATTTCACAATATCATGAGAGAAAACAGTTGAGAATACATTGGCAAAGTAAGATGTAAATACGGAGAGCGCGAATAGTGAAAATATTCAAAATTCTCAAAATGCATAAGAATGAATATATTTGTACACTTGTAGTAGAATTTAGATTACTCCTAAAACAACTAATAGAGCATAATCAGATTGGTAGACTCATTTGATGAAGTCATCCTTACATTCTACTCCAACAGTACTGAATAAACTCCGTCGTAAAGTTTATTAAGACAAAAGCTGATTTATTTATGTGCTGCCTATATTTTACATCAAAGTAAGTCCACAACTTCGTCCCCTTATTTTACTGTAATATCAATATTTTCCACTATTCAGTTTCCCCCCACCCATATAATAGCAATGCTGTGGTGATATCTACGAACAAAAATCTGTAACCAAACCGTTTACCCTTTATGGGAGAGGATTAAGTGACGTGTAGTAAACTTGCCTTTTACTAAGTGGCAGTCGGATGCCCTGTCGGCAATAAACACTAGGTGTTGCATCAATGATCAAATTTCAACAGTAAATACCCTATTTAGGCAAACGTAATGACTTTTTCAAATACTAATGACTACAACGAAAAGAAGACTTGTGCTGACCTACAATGCTGGTAGTCTTGTTATATGGGTTAAATTCTCATCGGCACTCAGCGTAATCCTTTTAGACAAAAAAAACGTTAGCAGAGTACATGGTTTTTTAGTCTTGAATCAAAAAGAGTGTGAAGGATTGATGTGACACGGTATCTGGCTTAACAACTGGGGAAAACAATTGACTGAATATGTTAGAAATGTAAATGAGCATTAATGGCGTCAGTTGTTCGCAAAGTCTTCGTATGAATACAAAAAGTCACCTTCCACCTACGTCACCGATGGGACAGTGAAAAATAACTATTAGATAGTATGCATTGCAAACCAGTTCAGTCGCTCTAAACTGTGAAACATATTCGTTGACGATGAGTGCCAAAAGGCCACAGATATTCTTTATCACAACCGAGTGATTCAAATTTGAGTGAGTTTTCCCCGTTTTAATCATTATTAGTTCTAGTCCTGTGACAGATTTTCTCAATGAAGTTCTATTTTATCTGATGCACATATCGATATCTCTTATTAATGCAGGTGTGAAACTTTGGCGCTGTGGTAGTATGTAATTCCATATTTATTTATTTATTAGATATATTACAAAGTGAAAGAGTATTATTTACTGGATGACGTTTGAAACTGAATAATTACCCTGATAAATTAATCAGGAAATATGTAAGAAAATGTAAAAATAAAATAGATAGTAATAGTAGTGATAGTAATGATGATAATAATAATAATAATATTAATGACGACATGCACGTTAAACATGCACAGGATAATGACAACACCAATAATAGGGAATATAGATCATCAGCAGTACTTCCATACAAAGAAGGAACCTTGAGAGCCCTACGGAGAATTCTTAACAATGCAGGAATAAAAGTAGCCGGCATTCAAACCCACAAACTCAATTAGAAATAAGCTTTGTTGGTTAAGGGATCCTGTAGAGTCAATTAAACAAAACAATTTAGTTTATCTAATACCCTGCTTGAATAATTATCAGGTCAAATACAAAGGTCAAAGCTGTAGAATGAGGTCAGTCAGTCAGTCAGACTAGCGGAGCACACAAACCTACCAAAATCTAGATTAACTGACCTTAATGAGATAAAATTCTGGAAAATAGTTCAACTATAGCAATACATGCAATTACACACAACCATGCAATAGGATGGGATAAGATGACAGTTTTAAAATCCAATGTAACAGGATGGAGCGAGAGTTTGATAACGGAAGCTTTGTTTATTGAATCAACTGCAAACACATGCAATAGGAATGATTCAACACCTGTCCTAGATATGTGGAAAATTCCACTACCCCTATGACAAATAGGAGAGAACAAAGAAGACCATAAAACTCAAGTTTCGAAGTTGTGTGATTATAATTGATATGATTATGAACAATAAATTGTGTTCGAAACTTTGTCATCCAGTAAATAATACTGTTTCGCTGTGTGATATATCTAATAAACAAAATAATATGGAATCGATATCTCTAATACACCAAATTTTAATTTTTTTTTTTGCTTTAGTGACAACTAGGACTAATTGTGTAAAACAGAATTACCAAAATTTTCTTGTAATGCCATTAAGTAGGAAAATATATATGCATCAAAGGGGATCAGTGAACTTTAATAAACACCTAGAGATGAAGCCTAACCAGTGTGAACAAAACTGTAGCTTATGGGGTTTGTAGTTCATTTCATTGATACTCTGCAAATCAGTGGATACCTACTTTTAGTTTCTTGCTTTGGAACAACACTTGATGGGATAAAAACAGGTAACTTCAGGCAATTTTTATCTGAAAACAAAGAAGAGAAAAAAAATACTGACTATGCACACTCGTAAGCATACTTTGATAAGCATTCTACAGTCAAGCAAATTTAACGAAACGAAAATAGACAAAAAATGCATTCTTGGTATTCACTGAAAAGTATTTCAGAAAGACATCATCATACGCTTCATAAGAACACAGTGATGCTATGAAATTTGACATACAACATACAGTTAAACGTCTGTTTAACTCGCATAATTAATATCCAGTTTTAAGGTGCTATTATTACTGAATTGTACTTTCATTATAAGACATACTGGGTCAAAATACGAAATATCAGAAATTCTCCGAGTATGTAAGGTAACCACTGTCAATAACACATCATTGGATAGATTTGTTAATTGTGCTGTTATAGTACTCATTTAATTGTCAACCAATAAGTCAAGGCACAAAATTCTAGATATTCAAGCATCTAAAATAGTATGCGGAGATGGCTTTAGTTAGCAAGCTGTACAATTATTGTTTTATTTTATGGTGTAAATACCAGATTATGAACTAAAACTTAGTTTACATATAAATACAATATCTTTCCCAAAATTAAATATAGTGGCAAATTGATTTACTTTTCACTCAGTTGCAAGTATACACTAGGCATTAAATAAATACACAAAGATAGTTGTAAAGTAATAATACCACTGGTTTTCGTGGTCAGAGGTGACAACTAATCAATGCAAATCCTGTAACTGCAAATACTAATGTTTTACGAATATTTACCAGCGAATATTAATTTCTGTGAATGCAGTAATTCAGTGATTCAAAGAGACTAATGAATAAGTTATAACCACAGAATAATTCATAAGTGGACTTTCAAATAAGTAGTCACATAACTGAACTAAATCAAGCGCACTAATAGTACAAATAAGACCCACCTTTTACAGGAGGTTCACTGGGTCTAGTATCTTCAGCATCAGACGGCTTGGAGTCCACATCTTGTTCTGGTAATTTCTGATCTGAACCAATATCAGCCTGATTTCTTGTCTCTTCTGCTTCAGACAACAGTTGACACATTTTGGTACCAGAATGCTGAGTTAGAATGTGCAAATCCTCAACGCAACTGTCCAATAACTCTGGCTCAACTAAGCCATCCAATACATCACGTAGTATCCCGCGAACTTCACCACTTTCATTTTGACTAGAGGTATTACTTTTGTTAGTTATAGCATCATCGTTACCAGATTCAGCAGTTTCACTTGATACGTCTTTTAGATCACTTAAGAGACCCGATGTTTTCAAACAATCTGAGTTTTCAGCTAATAAATGTTGTATGCCTTTGGAACATCCAACATCTGTAATTTAAAATATAGTACAAAGAAATGTGCTAATAACCGAGACTAAGAAAGGACTCATAAAGAGAAATAATCGGCAAACAAGCGCATATCAGAACTATGTACTAATGGAAGCGTAAGGTGTTGCTACTTTCCATCTGTTCACACTGCTAAAGTTAACTTCGTAAAATAACCGGAAGAGAAAAATTCACGCATCGCTTGGATTCAAAAAACCCATTCAGGGAGTTGTGGTATACCAGCAAATGTCGTTCTAACACGATAGATTTTTAACATACGATTTCACCACCTTTCCGGTTTTTCCATCTAGTTCTCGTGACACATGACATTTAAGCAATTAAAGTTCCGTGTAAAATGACTACGGAGCACTGTGCTTTAAAAAACAGAACACTGGTTGTATAGACCAGGCAAGTTTTCAGTGTTTGCAAATGTTTTAGGATGCAACTACTACTTCTATTACATACGTACACAATAACCACAAGAATTCGAAGTCCCAACAATAATATTACTTAGTTTTACTTATAAGCGGCTTAAGCAAATGTTTCTACAGGCTGTTCGCCAAGAGGAACTAACAATAGTGACGTCGTTGCAAAGGACTAGTGGAAACTCAACATTCAAAGCGGCGAGTAGATTTACTGACCATTGTCATATCAGATTTTAATCACGGTAAGTATTCGTCAATATTTTCTAGGACATTAATGGCTGGTCTTTAGGAGCAACTAATTTGCTTATGTCAACCAGTTTGGAATAATATTTATGAACACCACATAAACGCAAAATAAACCTGGCACACTAAACCATGAACAAAATCCAGAGGAAAACTGAAAATTTTGTATGCACCGACTCCCTCAGTAGGTATATTTTTTACTTTATGTCAGAATTGAGTGGTCGAGAAAGAACACCGAGTAGCACAACAGCGATGGTTGAACCATGTAAGATATATAGGTAAGTTGTGAACTGTTCAAAGCCACAGATAGGAATTTTCCTTATCTAACCTGCAACGATATACTCCCTCTTCTCTAAGCCTAGACGCAAGACCCATGTCATCTGAAATACTAACAACTAGTGCTATCCGTCAGACAAATCCGACATCACTTTTATTTAATATCACGCGAGAATCTGGCATATAGCCATGGAGTCTTCAACTAGTGAGTCCCGTCGTGATGTATAGACTGTCTGCCTCGGGTCCTCGAGATACCGAGATCTAATAGCTGGAGACTGTTGGTAGCATGGATCATGATCATCCTAAAAAGCACAGACGAATTCGCTCCTTGTGATCTTCTAGATTCAAAACTCTTAATTGATCCGCCTCTGATTATTACCTATCGCGTACGTCTCCTTTCACTGTACTTCAGTTTCTCCCCTACTTTTATATGCTTTTTGGGATGTATATTGCTGCATTTTGTACAGAGGTCTACATCAGTCAATAAGATTACAAATACTATCACAATTGACTTACCTATTTTAGAAAGTTGTGTAGAAATTGTACGAGCTGTGTATTTCCCAGACAACTTTTGTAGTTCAGTATCTATACGACGTTCTAATTCAGTTATCTCCATAGTTATACGAGCCATTGCACCCTCTGACATACTCTGATCATACACAAAATGAAAGCTTTATGGTAAATATAACTGAAAGGAATTTACGACAATTTGAACAGAGCGAAAATTATATATGATCAGGATTAAAACTGATCCTAGATACACAGCACTATTCAAGCAATAATATACTCAAGAAAAGAATGTACTTGTTGCTAGCGGAAGTTCAATTTCTTTCAACTTCCCGAGACACGATTCACTGACTTCAGAAGCTGACTTTCGACAAACACGACCTAGTTTGATTGGATACTATTTAGTCCAATCAAAGTATCCAATAGAGTTCTACAGGAGGTCAACTGCTACCCCGAATAGCTCAGTGGTAACGTCTGTGACTGCAGCTTTGGGTAACGCGGGTTCCAATTTCAAAAGGGACCTGAGTTCCCTCAAGGTTGCAGATACGCCTTGCTGACAAGTACCAACTAGCACGAAACCTAGGTCCAAGGCTTCCTGCCAATTGCTTCCAACCATCTAATATCAAACACGACATAGGTTCGTATCTTGCCTACCTATTTCATCCTGGACAAATGCATCATCCCTAACACAATAAGCGTGACTCAAAGCCCTGTATATCAGGAATTTCTTTTTGACTACCTTAATTCTAATTAAGTGATGTATGAAGAAATTTGCTCCTACTACACTTGACGGAATAAAGAGGTAAATAAGTCGGTACATTCAGAGGTTTGTCTATGCAAACATACTAAAGTAAACAATTTCACACCTTTAAAATAAAACAAGCAAGAAACATTAAATAAAAACTCACTTCTTAAGTGAATTAGCACCACAAAGCTCTAGACACAGGTTTCGTGCTTGACCGAATTTATCAACAAGGCTTTCGTGAAATCTTGAGGAAACCCATATTTACTCAATTATCAGATTACAGATGGCTTGGTGATCACACTACATAATTTCCAAGTTTCAGTAAACAAACTTAAGACTACGTAACTACAATGGTTTTCGTTTAGCAAATAATTCACATGCCTAGTTTACTTATGGACTTCAAAACAGTCCTCATCCCAAGATGATGTCACTTAACCAACCACTAAACTTCAAATGGGACTCAACACCCACCTGTTCTATACTAGTCCACTACTTTTTAACAGTGAGTACGTAAGGACATATGATGTTTGACCTACAGTTGTCAGGTTTAACAGCGGTCGCATTTATTTCATGCCAATTGGTGATGAGTTGCTTTATCTTAACCATAAAACAATGACTTAGATTATGAAGTAAACACTATAAAAATTTTCACTTATCAAAACTGACATTTACTAATTTACTAATTTTACGACGTTTTCATAAACGGTAGAAAAATACATGGTACTCTACAGTGTGGATAGAAACCGAATAAATAATATAATAAGGTAAACTTACTTTCAACTTTTCATCCTCCTGCTTCATTGAAGCAACAAATGCTGGAGGATCTTGCTCCTCATCATAATCAACTGAGAAAAATGCTTCAATACTAAGAGCGGATGATGGAGTACGACTGAATTCTTCTAAACGTTTGCGTGCAGTACTCTGACTAATCCGAGCTGAAATCACATAAATAAATTAGTGAAAAGGCTTGATCTAGAATTCATCGGAAAATAATGATAATAATAAAATGTTTACCGTATTCACTGAGTATAACAAAGCAACAACACTACTGTTTATTGAAACTTATTAATCAAAGGATGCACAAGACAAACTCTTATAAAAGGTCTTAATTTCCTGCGCTGATTAAAATTTAACCACTCGGTGAACAGATGTCTACTACGCCTCTTTCCCTACTTCTAGCTCCTGAAGTTTGGTAAATAAAAAGCACTGTTCGACTGACAACTGTCAAAATTATCACTTGTAGTTACCAATAATTGTGCCTTTTTAAGTGTATGGAATATCAAGAATGCTGATGGAGTGGTTTCTAAAAGTGCTACCAGTATGATGCTTGTATAAAATGTGATAAAATGAAAAAAAAAATGCTGCTAGTTCATGCACTGAAAAAAGTGCACTTGGTTATCAAGTTTCTTTCCTTAATCGTATAAAATCGGTTATTATGAAGACAGATAATAAAGGAGGAATTATACCAATTCGAGCTACGTCCTCCTCTGTCCTATTGAATTCATGAATTCGAGCAGCAACAAGTAGTGCAGCAGCAGCCAATCCACTAGGCCTACGACCAGTAGCGATCCAGTCTTTCTTCATCCTTTGTAACAGACGCATGGCGGTTGTAGCGACTGTGGACACTTTGTCACCGAACTCCAACTGACTTGCGAAGCGATCAATATAGATACAAGGATCTGAAATAAGTTAGGACAGATCATATATATATATATATATATATATATATATATATACAAGAGGAATAAAACAAGTTTGGCTCCTAAACAGAACAAATTCCCCTATTCATTATCCACTTTACAAAAGTAGTATCTAAATATCCCCACTTTTTATTCTTCAGCCATTTACATATCTAGACTGAGATTATCCTGTATGGTTCTAGACTGTGAGACTACCACTGGTGTAATCACCAATAATCGATGAAATATAGGTATAGGTAACGGCAGGATTCAAACGAGATGCTTCTAAAATAATAATCTACATACACTATGAAGGAAATACCAGCGTAAAATTTCTCTTTTATGTGCTCTTATATCCCCAACAGATCCGTAAAAGATTTATGATGCACATAAGATAATGTGCAAATAATAACAAATACAAAAACTACCACCGTATTTAGACTGCTTTTGGCAAACAGTGAAAATGTAGAAACTACATACGCAACTTAATATTTGTGACTACTATAAAAAGGATATAAATGCTTTTTGTTCAGTACAAATTGCTATGTAAACAGAATTACTTATGCAAAAGAATTCGGTCGTTGTAATGAACATGAATTTCTAAATAGTGCATTCTGGTGCACCAGCATTGATGAAGCTACTAGTACTAAACGGTGGAATGTTTTAAAGATTGTTTTGCTTTCTAAACAATATAACATACAAATTCATGTCACTTTCATAATTATTTAACTCAAAAGTGATTTTTAAAAACATAAAAATAATATAAAAACGATAGAAGATACAGATAAAAAGGGGGGAGAACATTGAGAAGTCTTTAAGATCATCATCAAAACTTGAACTAACCCATTTCTGGTATGGCTAAATTAAGTCGCTTTTTTAGATCAGCGTAGACACGACCAAGAACATAAACATTGATTCCAACTGCATCACTGAGGTCTAATAACATCAAATTGACGCGCAACTGGCGGGCTGCTAAATATATACAGCCCGCAGCTACTGTAAAAGCATTGCGACCCCTTGTAAGTCCACGAAAAAGTGCACTTTGATAATAACGAAAGGCAGAGACTGTTATATCATTGCCAAGACGCAACTGGCCACAAATGGTATCAATCCTTCGACGAGCTATAATGATCAAATTTCAAACAGGTTAGAACATAAATAACGATAAGTAGAAGTGAACACTAATTAGTCAACAAGCAAACGAGACTTTTAGTCTGAATGTACCACGTCACATTAAGTCAGTAAGAGCACCCGAAGTGTAAATTTCTGTGACATGTATCCTTTAAAATCAAACATCAAATCAGGATAAATTTTCAAATGAATCAGCTAACCAAAATAACTTATGATGATAAAAGCATTGAGACTTCATAATCAACTAGGCCCAGTAATTGTATGCAGGATGGTAACAGTTCCAATGGGTAAACTCATTTTAATGGTTGGAAGTTCTTAAAACCATTTTGGTGACTGAGTGTGGACAAACATGTGAAAAGAATTTAGACATGGTTTGCGCTGCTTCTTAAATTCAAGCTTTTATTCAGAGATATTAATAAATCTGTCCAGGCGATGGAAAAAGACCTAAATTGGTTGTTAAAAACTAATCAGTCGATTTTCAGACTATGCTAATTTCAAACTCACAAAATTTCGTGCAATATAGACCTATACAAAATAATTACCAAAAATTCCACTTGAGACACCACTTAAAAGAAGGGAACAAGTCTGTTTTACCTAATGTCTAGACTCTTAACCAGATCAAAAGTACAATAGCAAACACGAAAGTGTATTAATGAATTTGATTAGGAAGCTGAATGGTCACCAATAAGCTAACGCAAAAACAAAAGTGAAGTTTTATAGGGGGATCTTCGGCCGTTAAGTAGGGTTTCATAATTCAAACAATGTCTCAAATAACTCAACCCATCCAAATATCTACGGACTTATGCTATCTTAGTAGTATGCACTTTTGGAGCAAAAAAACGAGCATAACAAGCACGTGCTTGTATGGCATTAAAATATAAGATCAACCTCAAAATAAATTTTCAGGAAAACAAAACAGGATAATATAAAACATATTATCTCATTTTCACATACTTGTGACAGAGAAACAAGAAGAGTATTTCCCGCTCACCTTTATTTTCGGTTAACTGACGTGACTCTTTGAAGTTAAGAGCTTGGCCTGAAATAAAATGGAGTAAAATATCAAAACTTACTCCCATCTGAGACAAAACGACCAACAGCAGTACATTGACCAGTATTTGTTTCAACGAACTCTACCTCTGAAGAAATGACATTTTCGCCCATAACCATCCCACAATCTAAACATATTAGGTCAGCACGGGCACGGTCTTCTTCTAAATTAGAGCTTCCACAATGTTTACACTTCATTTTGGATGTTGCGTAAAGCTCAAAGTCAGCGCTTAATATCCATTATCCAATAGATTCAGATTCATATTCATATTATAGGAATATAAGGCTCTTGTTGCAATATATATATCTTCGGAGATCCAGTTTCTCTTTGAAAGTGTTCACCGAAGGAAATGTTACTAGTGTATCCTGTGAGGAGTTCCATTCATGGTGACCTCGTAAATGTATCCTAGAGGGAGAGAAAAGGTTTGAAAGAGCAGTCCTTAAATCGCCCCTTAGTATAGGGCAAGCCAAAATTAAGTCACCTCTACTCCTTCGGTATGATAATGGGGAGAGATAAAGATGCTCCATCTTCTCATGATAAGGAAGGTGTGAGATACCTTGTCGATTTTCGGGCTTTTGCTTGCTGTTGCAGACTTTTGGGCACACTTTACCTCTGTTGTGTCTTTCGAAGCTTGGGGATGTGGTTATATCTCAGTCTTATCATTCAGGCCAGAATCCCCATCCATAAAATTGGTACCAGATCCTGCTTTTTCACCTCACCTGAGGTTTTGTCAGTTACTTGGACATGAGAAGTCCTACAGTCTCTTGGATGAGGAGGTCCAATGGTTTGCTACAAAATTTGCACATCTACGGAGATGATGGCTTGCTGCATCCCCCATAGTTCGATGGTGATAAGCGAGTGCAAACATTATGAAACCATAGGTTGCAGTTATCACACTGCATCCCATCATCCACCTGAAAGTGGCAGTCCGGTCGTCCGCAGCTATTTGAGAGACTCATATCGGTATAAGTCGTTTAAGTTACACAGACAAATATGTATGTACACAAAAAGTCACAAAAGGGCACAAAAACAATACTTCAACTAATTAAATCAGTTAAAGTAAACCAGAAAGCTTCTGATGAGACTTACACAACGAAAGCAGAAGTTACTTCACAACGTAAAAATGCCACTTTCCTTTTCGAAGCGCTTGCTATAACACCAAAATGTGTGCTGCAAGCTTTTCCAAAACTCATGAATTCTTTGTGGAAAGGTTTTAGATATTTATTGGATTTCGATAAAGTGCATAAATAGTCTGGGCTGCTCAAACAGGCGGTCATAACTACAAATAATTCTGGAAAAAGTTATGTAATCCGTCTATATAGACTTACGTCAGATACCTGGCTGGTTCTTACGCTTGCTCAACTTTGCTTTTATTTACTATCCTAGTGATAGGCGAACCGTTTACCATAGATGAAGTTTTTAATTTTGTTAGGATTCAAGAATTTCTCCAGTCTCTTAGATATGCATATTCACTTGGCTGCTGTGGCGTTATTTAATTCATGGTTCCTAGTAAGACGGCATCTCTTCTGTTGTGGTAGTTTAACGTTTCACTAGATATTCCCACCATACGATAGAAAAGCCATAATTATGGGTGAAAAAGGAGGAGAGATACACAGACAAGCAAAACAAAATGGGAGGAAAGTCAAAGAAGAAAAAGAAAACAGAGTAACAAAACAGTGAAGGAATAGGAAGCCAGTAAGTGACAACAGCAGAACGGTATCCTCACCAAAAATGTCGACGGTCTATTCTCAGATTGCCACTATCCTTGGGATTCTGCCAAGTTGTTAGGCTGAATACCTCTGGTACAAACCGACAGGACCCAGTGAAGCAGGCGAGTGGTGATTTCCATAAAATTCACACCCCAAACATCAATGTGAAACAGGCTTAGCTCGCGTATTGTACAGTTCATAATTCCACCATTAGACACTGTGTGTCCATCACAGGTAGATAAAGTGGAGGATATAGTGTGTTGATTCTGGCTGTCCGGATTCGGCTCAGTTGCAGATGCACAAAGAGTCACTTTCACTTTTGCAAGTCAAATAGATGTACACAGGGGATGAAGGATGTTCTTGTAGAAAGACAGACAGTTTTGTGCTGATTCTGCTGACGGTTCCAGTTTGGTTGCTGTTTGTGTAACAGCATGACATCTTCCTCCTGGAATCATTGTTTTCTCATGTGCTACATGCTCCGACAATCGGTTCACGGTTATCTGTCTGTTTAAATGTTCTTGGCTGATAGCTGCCGTTTCGGCCATCCTCATCTTCTGAATAAGGTTTCAAGCCGTTCATATCCTGGCGGTTTGTAAAGTGGACGATATTCTCCTTGGTAGCTGAACCAGTACGGCATAGTTTTCACGGCACGTGTGGCAGACATAGAGAAACCTTGGACGGAGATTATGCAGGATAGATTAGACGGAATGTTTCTTTTCTTAAAGACCTTAAGAGGTTAAGTTATATTCTTAAGTTATGGCCAACATATGCAGACAATGCATTCGTCTAACATTTTTTAAAGTTTTTAACACATAAATCCAGTAGTCCATTGAATCTAATACACTTTCTAATTCGAAAATGAACTTGATAAATTAGTGGGTCAAGAAAATGGGAGTAGACGAAAACGGAATGGCGTGTCAAGCATTTGCATGTATAGACATATTTCACACTCTTGTATGTACTTAGACCTTGATTCCCCACACTTAAAACGATTAAACGTTCATTTAATCCAGCCAGGAGCCTAACCAGTAATTCAGAAGATTTAAGTAATAAACTGATAAATAGGGAAACAGTGATGAAAAGCCTCCCACCAGCTTATGCTTAAAAAGTACAAAAACGCATAGGAAGAGTAGTGGTTTAAGTGGAAAATATAATACAGATAATAAGGAGTCTAAGGCCTCAATAACAATTCCACATAAAGAGGCATCAGAATAAGACCTTTGTGGAATTCCTAAATAGGTTACAGTAAAAGTGAAATTAAACCTACAAACCCATTCAGGAACAAGCTTTGTTGTCTCAGAGACCCGACAAATCCAATCAGGAAAAACGTGATTTATCAAATGACTTTGGGATAAATTATGTGTGTCGATTTAGTAGATCAGGGTCAATTCGATGATTGAAAAGTGGGAACTCAGGGAGTGCTATATGGCTAACCCTTCCCAGTTAAATAATCAGTAGAGCATTTCTATCACTGAGATACATTCAACTGAACGTAAACGCACCATAGGTTGGGATAGGGCTAAAGTAATAAAAAGTAATATATTTTGCTAGAGTATTTAATCACCGAATTTCGTCTATCAAATCAAAACAAAACACGTGCACTCTACGTGCACGGATGAATAAGTAAGTAAATTTTTTCTGGGATATTTTAACGGAAAGCAAGGGAGAGTGAAAGCATATAAGACGAGTTCTGAAGTTGTTCAGATATATCGATATGGACATGGGTGATAGATTTTGCTCCGGAAGTCATCTAGTTATTACTTCTGCAACATTGCATATTATGGGATAAATTCATATAGTGTGGAATAACATTTCGCAACTGTCAACCGCCTATTTTTAGTTTCAGTATTCGCCTGCAATTATTTAGTCAATAAGTTATCAGTCCCTTATAGAATTTAGCTTCCGGATTTCTTATTTTAACGAACCCTACGAAACGTCTGAGTTAGGTACGATAATTGTGTCAAACACCTATTCTGCTACTAAGTCCATTAGGATGGAACAAAAAATATACAAACTTAACGTCCTTAGGAGTGGTACAGGCAATAAAAGGTGACTCTAATGAGCCATGGGTGAAGCTGATTTAAAAGAAGGTATAGACGGGTAAATGACACTCACATATGCAGAATATAGTGCTGTTTGCAGGCAAAATGTAGGCTGAAGTTTATGAAACTAACAGGAGATGTGACGTGCGAAAATATGGGAAAGATATGTGCGACCGGTAACTTCAGCCAATCAAATACCGAGAAGTGAGCTAACAGGTAAGATACTGAGAGACTACGTTCTGCTGTAGCAGTTCAATCTACAGGTATGCATACAAATTCTCTGTGAAAAGTTGTACTGGTTGACACCTTCAGAGATTACACATAGAAATTTAAAAAGATGCATGATGACTCTTGAAAGGGTGCATGATGACTGTTGAATAAATTTTCCTAGATAACCAAATCCACACTGCACAGTAGCTGAGTGTTTGAAATTGTAATGAAACTATCGTATTTAATGTGGACAAACATTTGTTTGTCCATTACGTCTAAAATACTATTTTCTCAGCTGAAGGTTTTTCTGGATACCTAAATTATGTAGAAAGAATGTGTGTATTTCTTTCGATTCACTCTGACAATTGAATACTGAACGCATTGCTATGTGTATATTGATAAACACGCATATTTCGATTTCCTGCAAATGTTTTCAGGTGGGCATAGTTTTAACTACTGCGTAAAAGGCTTTTAAGTGTTTTGCTATTGTTCACTAGTCACTATATAAACAGTCTGAATTGTCAATTCTGGTGCATCTCACTCCTTGATTTCTATTGCACATTAGGTACCTAATGTGCAAACAAACACGTGTTTGTTACGTATAATCAACACAAGTGTTTGATGTCTTCAAGTTTTATATTCTTGCTAATAATTCTCATAGACTGAATTTTACAACTTGATTCACCCAAGCTTACCATAATGCTAAATTAAATCTCACTAATTCTGAAATAATTCTCACGTTCTATAGTGAGTAACTTCTGAATCTGTTCTGAAATGGATTCTTTAATAGCACAGACTAGAACTCAGTGCTGGTTTTCAGCATGACTAGAACGAATTCAGCACCGTGTTCTTTTTCTAGGCATTTCCAGGAGTAGATCAGAACATACTGGGTTTGCTTATCAGCGTTGTTTCAGCCCTCACAGGACATATTCAGCGCGGACTAGCGTTACTTCAGAACGAAAAGACTTAATTCAGCACCCAGCTCTCTTTTTAAGCACGACCAGCGTCATTTCAGAACATAGTGTGTAGATAAAATCTTCATTTACCATAAAAAGGCATTATCGAAGAATAGGTTAGAATAAGTTAAGAATTGTTGTAAGCTTGGGCACTTATGGGCGTGAATACCTTGTGGCTAGGAACACTGAGACGATAAAATATTATTGTAAAGTTAATACGTACTGCAAATTTGCTAGTAATATTTCAGTTTGATTATGCAAAAAGCAAATGAAACAAGTGGGGAGATTTCGAGGTGATTCTAAACTGCCCAAGCTTACAACAATTCTAAACTTATTCTAACCTATGCGTTGATAATGCCTTTTTATGGTAAATGAAAATTTTTTCTACCCACTATGTTCTTAAATGACGCTGGTCGTGCTTAAAAAAAGAGCTGGGTGCTGAATTAATGCGACAAAATCTGAAAAGGCTAGAATTAAGCTGAAAAAAT